ATATCTAAATTTAAATACAAGCTCCGCCCCAGGTCGGTTTATTTTCTGCCAGATGGTTCTAAATTATTTAATAAATTATTAAAATTATAATTATTAATTTAGTTATGAGATGGTGCCTAACGGCTACATCTAGTAGCAAATTACTTAGTATTAATCATTAAATTAGCAGAGTCATAGCCCAATTATTTAGGCAATCATTTGATTATAGAACTCTATGTAACTTATAATACACTTGAAAATGTTAAAATTCATTATCACATTATTTTATTGTATTACATTATATTGGTTTCCATTCTTATATCTAACTAAACAAACATCACCACTAAACCTAATATACAATAAAGCTAGACACCAAACCCAAATTCTATCAGGCCAGACATGGCTATATTACTAATTTATTTAGTAATATAACCATGTCTAGCACTGGTTCAGCACTGGTTGGTGTCCATTCTCATATCATTAATTTTATTGTTCTATTGAATTTATTTAGCATTTCAAGAGTGAATAATCATATTTATTTTTATCAGTGTAATGGCATGTGTCATCTCAAAAAGTTAAAATGTAATAATTTTTTTTCAATTCATTATTATTAAATCAAAATTTTAGATAAATGAAAATACAAATTCATTTGTCTCTCCAAACAAACAAAATGAAAGAAATAATTTAAGTTTCAAATAATTCTTCTAATCAATTATATATTTTAACAATAAACAAACTTTCAAGCCTTTATAGTATATTGTATTAAAATACAAATGTGTTATATATCAGCATTATAAAAAAATAATCTTACCTCTGCCTTATTTGCAACTAGTGTTTTGTCTAATGGAGAATTTTCTGAAGCTCTACTATTAGTACTACTGCTACAAAGAGTATCACTAAAACTTCCAGAAAATCTCTGATAATTTTCCAAACTAAATAAAATAATAATTATAAAATTTTATTTAAGATATTATTATGAATATAATAGGTAGGATAAGCCTTAAGTAGCTTTACAACTTTCAATAGAAACAAACTTATTGAAATGGAATACTACTTACTTTATTTTATAATAATAAAACTAGACATATGAAACTTTTATGTTGAATATTTATAGTTTGATTTCAATGACACTTTCTCTAATTTTATGCAAATATGATAGATTAATATACAATTTTTTCACTTGAGTACATTAATTATTTCTAAAATGGCATATTCCTTATGTTCAGTAACAATACAGGAAAGATTATTTTATACTTTTACAAAATCAGGATTAAGCTCAAAGAGGTTAAATCTGAAGAGTAAGACTCTTCAGACTTAACCTCTATAATACTATAAAATTGTACTGCTATGATCTGTTTCAACAATCTTCCTATTACATTGACAATTAGACAATTATGAAGGTTATTGCATATTCTATATCAAATTTTCATTGAACTTCTATAGAAAGTTAGTGTACATTTTGCTTTCATGAAAAATGAGTTCACTTGGTACCATTACAACTTGCCATTTAAGTTTTATAATGTGGTTATACAATGCCATTAGCAAGGCAATCCAACACACAGACAATCACCATACATATTATAAGGGTCCAACACACAGACAATCACATCTTTATGGACAGTAAAGTGACCCTTAATATTCTAAACTATCAAAAGAACCCATCTGTTCTAGCTGCTGAATGATAAAGACTGTTCAAAACCTGGGAAAAACTGTAACCACAGATTAGTTGGATCCCAGCTCACAAGGGCCACAAAGGTAATGAATTGGCCGAAAAGTTGGCCAAGTCAGCCTGCACATTATCTTCAAAACTCAGATACAAGAAGCTATCTGAAATTTCCTCGAAACATCAACTACAACACAGCCAATGATATGTGGCAGAAGGAATGGGACTGTCCTGATACAGGAAAGTTATGTCACAATTTCATATCTTAAAAAAGTCAAATACTTCAGCCCAGATGCAGAGGTGACCCAGTGCCTTACAGGACATGGGAACTTCTTATCATACCTGTACTATTTTGGTAAGCAGATAGATAGCATCTGTAATTGTGATAGACAGAGTAAAGACGATGCACTACATTTTCTTTTCAGCTGCAACAAATACAACCACCAATGTACAGAACTCTTCAAAGAATGTCTTCAAACAGAACTCAACTGGCCCCCCCAATCCTGCTGACATTCTCAATAACAAAAGAAAAATGAAGAATTTCATACACAACACAAAAAAAAAATTCATGCCGAAATTCAACCAGCCAACAAAATGGGTGACACAGCAACAACAATTCACATCTAGACCAACAATGGATTGGCTGATATCAATTAAGGTAAGCTGGCTACTTGCCCAATTTGCAATTTGACTGTACTTATGCAAATTAGACCCACTGGGCTTATATTAACTATGTTCTTCAATAATTAGTTACAAGCATGGATTCGAGAATATTGTTTCTAATAATAATTTTTTGTAATGTTTTATCTCTTATGCCAATTCCATCTACAGCATTAACCATGTAAATATGCAACTTAGCCATATCAATAATTAATATTCATGTTTTGTTCTATATCTAACTTTATATAATACTGCTCCACTCCTATAACGAATGTTGATATTCGTATAAATTATTTATATAAAGCGGTCACAAATTATGTACTTTGTAAATGTTAAACCATTATGTCCAATACCCCTTTGCTGTACACAATCGTCTATAACCGCAATCTTGTCACTCCTATAACGAATGTCTGAATTTTCTAAATTTTTATATAAAATAGTCACAAAACATGTGCCTTTGTAAATGTTAAATCAATATGTCGGTACCTCCTTTGCTGTATGCACCCGCCTACATGCACAAACTTGTCATGTTTGTATTGTATACTGTATCACTGTATCACTGTTTAACAAGATAAAATATGTACATATTTTATCTTGTTAAACAAGTAAAAATACAAGTAATTGTATTTTTACTTGTTTAACAAATGCGATGCAGACACCCAGTGATCCAATACTTCCCTTCAATCTTTCCCTCCCTACTTACTATCACTTCCTCTTCTAACTTCAATTTCATCACTTCTAATTTCTTAGAGATAAAGTCTGTGCACATACAGACAACCTCTCTACTCTTTTAATGTAATGTGATTATACAATGGATGAGAATAGTATCGAGGGTAAAATATTTGATTGCTTTCATTATATAGTAGACAAAGAATATTTTATAGCTATTGAAAGCTTTAAAGCTACTTTAAACTCTACCATTATTATTCTAACATTTTTACCTTAGAGATTTATCATCTCTAAAATTCAATTTCTTTTCTGTTTTTTCTGTAATAAAATTTCAATTTAAATCTGATTCATTCAAAAATAATTTATTTTAATTAAAAGCATTTATTTTAAATTATTACTGTCTACTAGAACTTCTGTATAGTAATAGGACTTATTACACTGGTATGATCACTTGGACACAAAGAAGTAGGAGTCAAAGTCAAATGATTGCCATAATTAATCAAGTTATTTTTTCTGCTACTATTAATAATTACAGTGATCATTTGGCTTTGATTAATAACATCAGACTTAGAGATGTTTACATATATGTAGCAATAGTCAAAATTAAAACAGTGTTTCTTTATTTTTACCTATTTTTCTGTGAAAACAAAGAAACTCTGTTTTAGTTTTGATTACTGCTTCATCTTTGTGTCCAATTGATCACACCAGTATAATAATTATTATTAGTATACAAAAGGCCTAGTAGACAATAATAATTAAAAATAAAATTAAGGACATAGAGGCATAATTAACTAAAAGTATTTACTCACCTTCATCAGCTTGGTTGGATGGAGATAATTTGGAATTTAGAGAATTTAATACATTTCTTCTCTTTAATAAATGAACAGGATGAAAAGCCAAAGAATCCATTTTCTATTACAAATATTTTGTTTTTAACTGAATGTTATTTACTTTATATTTATAAATTGATTACCTTAGTTCTATCACTGTGTGGAATTCTTTTTCCTGATTTCATACACAATCTTCCTTGAGTGATTTCAGAAATGGGACTAAAAAGAAGTGGAGGAACAACAACATTTGGAAAACTCTTTGGTGATAATAACAACTGAAAAGTAATTTATAGAATGAAATAATAATTTGTCCTACAAATTTTTTTTTACATATAAAGCATAAAAGTAATTTGGTAGATGACAATTTATTCATACAAAAAAATATTAATGAACAAACTGGAAAAGAAAAGATGATAATTAGTAAGAATATGATCTAAATACAGAAAAGAAAACAAGTATAGTTAAGACCTAGCAATAGCTTTTCCTTTACTGAAAATTAAATTGAATACTGTGATGTGTTCGTCATCAGTTAACATAATTTCCATTAACCTGTTTACTAATTTTTGCAGGTCTTGAATAGGGTATTTGTACTCTCTGAAGTGTTTCACTAAAATGTTATGCATTTGCTTTTATAGTACAAGAGAGTACAAATATACTATTCAAGACCTGCACAAATTAGTAAGCAGGTTAATGGAAATTAAACTGAATAGTTAATTGTTAATGTAACTGAACATAGTACCAAAATAAATCAAATTACACTCATTGACAAAAAAGTTATGTATCAAAAAAGAGATGATGGAATTGAATGAAACTTCATTAGTGCAAACATAATGATAATGGTAATGAGTAATTATAATATCACAGCAAAATCAGAATTTTCTCTGAAACAATAGTACAGTTTAAAGAAACTTTTAGTATTTTGTATGATCTGCTCTTGCCTGGATACACATGCCAATAAGATTAGCCATACAGGCACTGTATACTGTCCTACAATAGATTTGCTGACAGATGTAACTGCTACTCCAGATCTCTCAATTGTAGATGTACATGTACACAGCTATGTCTGAGACATAGCCATATGCTGCATTCTTCAGTAAGTGGACAATTCTATCAGGTATATCTTTTTTGTCAATGAGTTTGTTTGATGTATTCTTTTCAGTAGAACAACGAAATTAAACTCATATACTAGATGTGCTCTTTCACTCTAATAATTCAATTCTGAAAAAATCACAATCTCAAAAAACTTATTCAATATTAATAATAGTACAATCTGCATCATAAATACTAATAAATGAAAAAATAAATATAAAAAATTAAATAAAAGTAAATAAAACTATTTTATTTGGTTATTAATATTTTTAAGTCAAATTAAAAATTAATTTACTTAAACTATTAATTACATTTTCTCTGATTAATTTATTTAACACAATAACACAAAAATGGTATTCAATGGTCATCATCAGGTTCTAACCTGCAACATTTTAATAGAGATTGTAATTAGAACAGATTTTAAATAAGAACATAGATCAGTGGTGGCAAACCATGGTACCAGTGCCCAAAGTGGCATATCAGAGAAAACATCTGAAACATACAATTTTAATTTTTCACCTGGTCATCCTTTATTTCTCCCAGCTTCTTTACATTTAATCTAATTACATCATATTCATTTTATTTATTTAAGCATAGTTATTCCAAGTCTAGAACTTTGACATGCATAAACGTTTTTAACCCTTTGATGACATCTGACATAAACATCACGTCACGTCAGATGGCATATTTGTCGGTATTTGATTGTGAATTATCAAGTCTGTTATATATCAAGTCTGCTATACATGTTTCTTTCACAATTTCACATTTCTAAACTACAGATTTTTGTGTTATTGTGTTAATTAACATAGATTTCTATATGTTTAGTGTTGATATGTTTATTTTTGAGCTACAGTTTTACATGCTATTTATTTATATTACTTAACAATTCACAAATTTGAATTAATAGATACTTTGAATCTTAATAATTCTAACTTATGAATCCTAAATAAATATTTGATAAAATGTATAAGATATAACTGTTGTGTGTGTGAAAAAAATATCTTACTTGTCCAGGTGATGGCAGTGAAGATAAACTGAGATTCTTTAGTTGTACTCTATCATTTTGTGTATTTTCAGCCATTTCAGGAGACAAAAACACATCGCAGGAAACTGGAGAATGGTTTTCAGAAGTTGGTGAAGGTAACTGTCGAAATTTTGTAGTTTGAAGACGATTTAAGATATTTGATGACACTTCACCTAGCCAGTTCTAGAAAAGATTTTAATTTTAATTACAAAGTAACATTTTATTATTAAAATTATCAAATTATTTTAATATTACATACCATAATACTCATGTTCTTTTGACTGTCTTTAGATATATACCTGAAAATAAAAAGAATTGACTAAGTTTTTCATTAAAATCATATAAATTTATTTGTAATTCAAAAATTGAAATAAGTAAACAAATTTACCTACTGTTAGATGATCTTGAGGCTTTCAGTGGAATATTTCCACTTAACGGTGATGTTAATTTAATATTACTTGTTGATGACTCTATTTTTTTTGTTAATAATTTAATCACTTCATTATCTGGCTCTTCTACAAACAAAAATTTTTCTTTTAATATAAATTTCCTTTATTATAAGGTGAAACAAAAGAAACATAAATCACACATTCTTACGTAATAAATAAGCCAAATCCAAAGCTTGGCAACCATTATATGCTGTGATATCTACATTTGCTCCTGCCTCTATAAGACAATTTACAACAGCTGTTTTTCTGTAATGAAATAAAGAAAAATAAATTCTGCCAATTTTTACCTTTTATCATTATATATTTCTTTAAGTACTTATGAAAAACAGCTTGCATCAGTGCTGTCCAACCATTTACTGTATCCTGTTTATCTAACTCAGCACCATACTTTATTAACAGCTGAACAATATGCAGATATCCAAGCATAGCTGAATACATTAAAGGAGTAGCTCCATCATCTAAATGACAGTTGCAAAGACATGGATCATCCTTAAGTAATTTTTGAAGAGTCGTAACATCATCTGAAATATTAATAACATTTACAAAATTGAAATTATTAAAATTAAAATCTAAATTTAATAAAAAAAAAAAAAACAAAAAGAAAAGAAAAAAGCATTAAATTTTTTAATTTTGAAATTAAATAATATATATTAACCATTTTTAACAGCATTAAGTACTTCCACAACTTCTTTCACATCTATAAAAAAATTATTATTACATATTAGTAATATACATATTTATATAAAATTATAAATCTGAAAAGAATTTTAAGTAAAAACAATACAAATACATGGCCTGTGTTATTTGCATTTAATACATACATAAAAATATAAATATGACTTAAATATAAGGATAATATAATATAAGGAAAATATAAAAATAAAAGCAAGGTTTTACCTTTGTAAAAGTCATATTTATATTTTTATGTATTTATTAACTGAAAAGAATTATTTAAAGTTATTTACTAAACTAATGATAAACAATTAGTCATAATCTTAATGTTAAGGCAGTTGAAGTGTCATCCTGTCAGTCTGGAGAACCTGGAATTGAATCCAGGTTCTCCAGAAAACACAGGAATTTTTTAGGAGATGGTCTGTTCTGGACATGTCAGGCCCAATTTCTCACCACCCAACTACCCCATTGTGGGCCTGGCTAGATCCAGGATGGGCCTGAAAAAAAGGCCCATTTAGTGCCTATAGGATGGCAGAAAGAGTTAACTAGGCAAAGTTTGTTTTCTGTCCAAACGTAAACAAAGAATTGAGTCAAAACACTAGCAAGTTAATAATATTGTTTTGGGGGGCATTTACAGTAGTCACTCCCACAGCAGTGACATCACAGATATAAAGAATAATTTAAAAAATTGCATGCACTTGTGCTAACAACCTTGGATGCTGTCACTTTGACTTAAATGTATTTTGAAAACAAAATCATGGACCCTGATTTTTATTACATTTTTAAATTCCTCATTGCTAAGTTGGCTAAGTTTTATAAAATTGACTTATCAAATTTTGAGAACAAATTCAACTCTAAAAGCCACATAGAAGAGGCTCCACTAATGCTCACTCTCAAAAATGAAAACAAAAAATAGCTGAACATACTGAATATTTATAATATTTACTTCACTAGTACAATAAATAAATGTCATGACATGTCAGAAATGAATAATGCCCAGCATACAGCATTAAGAAAAATGAGATGGCCAAACTGACTATTCTAGATATAACAACCTATATCAGTGTTCCTTTAGAATCTACAAACAATATGCGTATTTTTGTATGAATATATATATCTATGAATGAAGCAAAACGAGACTCTCAAACTTATATTACAAAAATTACAAGGACTCAATCACAAAGTTTACTAGCATACAAATTTTACCATTGTCAGGTACAGTAAAACCTTGATTTAACAGACTTTGGATTTAATTGGCAAAAACGGATTTAATGGTATGTCATATGTGAATATTAACACCATGTTAATTTTAAAATACTTTTAATCGCTATAACTTCTAAAAATCAAACTGCACTTATTATCATAAATCAACATGCTCCAAGAAAACCTTTAACATGCAGCTTAATTTTGCTATCAACTAACGTTTTCGGACAGCTTCACTGACCTTCTTCAGGTTCAAAAACAAAAACAAAAAACTTCATTCAAGATGAAAGTTCTTTTTCTTAACGGAAACTTCTAGAACGCTTGCTTATCTTTTAAATCAAATCATCATAGATTCAATTGTGTCGGCTTGTTCTTTGAATTTGCAAATCTGCCGCTTTCTATGCCAATGCTAGTTTAGACGATTCCCAAAAATTTATGGCTTGCCCATTTTCGTTGTATTTATTAATATACTACGCTTCTGTATATTTTAGATAGATGTCGTATGTTTGAAATTTTTTGTATAAGTTCTGCATTATCCCAGTCAACCGAAACCTCTGCTGGTTCTGCGATCATGTAATTTGCTAATGCCGTGACTGGTTGTTCATACCTAATATCCCTTTTATGCTCTTTCAACCTTTCGTTAATCGATCTTTTTGTGGCCCCTATATAATAAAGCTCTTTTTGGCGCCTTTTATCATGTAACGGTATTCTATATACCCCTGGAACCAGTTTTTTGTCTTCGGGTGCTTTATCATTTCTTAGCATTTGAAAAATCATCAGGTTCCTCTTATAGGCTATTTTCTTGTATATGTTGGTTAGCGGTGCCCTGTACTCCATTACAGTGAACTCTTCCTCTTTCTTCTTATTCCTGCATACAATGCCCGTCTTTTGCGCTTTCTATAGTAAGTCTTTTACTTTGCTTTATTCCTGCCTCTCTTGCTAGGTTTGCAACGTATTCTACTTCTTTCCTTGCATCTTGATTCTTGCTACAGTGTGTATATGCCCTTTTAAACAGCGCTCTAAATGCTGCTAGTTTGAAGTTTACTGGGTCATGTGACTCCCATGGTATCAGCTCCGTCACGTACGTCAGCTTACAATAAATTAGTAGTGATACGTCTTTCTTTTTTTACTATCATTTCAATATCCAAGAAATGTAGCCTTTTTTGTCCTTGTTCCAGCGCAAAAGACGGGCATTGTATGCAGGAATAAGAAGAAAGAGGAAGAGTTCACTGTAATGGAGTACAGGGCACCGCTAACCAACATATACAAGAAAATAGCCTATAAGAGGAACCTGATGATTTTTCAAATGCTAAGAAATGATAAAGCACCCGAAGACAAAAAACTGGTTCCAGGGGTATATAGAATACCGTTACATGATAAAAGGCGCCAAAAAGAGCTTTATTATATAGGGGCCACAAAAAGATCGATTAACGAAAGGTTGAAAGAGCATAAAAGGGATATTAGGTATGAACAACCAGTCACGGCATTAGCAAATTACATGATCGCAGAACCAGCAGAGGTTTCGGTTGACTGGGATAATGCAGAACTTATACAAAAAATTTCAAACATACGACATCTATCTAAAATATACAGAAGCGTAGTATATTAATAAATACAACGAAAATGGGCAAGCCATAAATTTTTGGGAATCGTCTAAACTAGCATTGGCATAGAAAGCGGCAGATTTGCAAATTCAAAGAACAAGCCGACACAATTGAATCTACGATGATTTGATTTAAAAGATAAGCAAGCGTTCTAGAAGTTTCCGTTAAGAAAAAGAACTTTCATCTTGAATGAAGTTTTTTGTTTTTGTTTTTGAACCTGAAGAAGGTCAGTGAAGCTGTCCGAAAACGTTAGTTGATAGCAAAATTAAGCTGCATGTTAAAGGTTTTCTTGGAGCATGTTGATTTAAAATACTTTTTATATGTAATTAAATTAACAGATTATTATTTTTTAAATCCAAGAGTCACTACACTTAAGAACAATTTTTATTTATTTAGTTAAATACAATTAAAGTGCATTTTCCAAAAAATGTTTGTTTATTTATTTTGATTTAGATTGTACACTTAATAAATAATATCATTGTTATTACTATGGTTTCCAGTGAGTACATATAATATACAAGCAATAATACATATAGAAAACTCAAAAAAATTTGATACTCCACAAAACTGGGCAATAATATACAGGTAACCCCCGTATAATACGGGAGTTACGTTCCAAAAAATTGCTGTTATGCGAATCCATGTTATACGAAACAAAGAATTAGTGCGATAAGGGGGGTTAGGTTCCAAAAATTAAAAAACATGTTGTTAAATCCTTATTTAAATCGGATTTATTATTATTTTTTTTCATAGGTAAAATACTTATTATTTAAATAAATATTTTACCACAAGATTATTCATTTTATATGATGATCTCAGCATGAGCATCATCAACTGGTAGCAGTTTTTGGGTACGTTCGTTAATAGCGGTTGCTCTGCAATGGGAGTGCACTGCTGTTTGTAATCATTTAGGAATGACGGTGAAAGAAAGATGGTGGCACCCGCACTATCGATAGTATCGTGTGGAGGAATCTATAATTCTAAAATAAGCTTTTAGAGACAAATGTCCCAATTGTATAATTTAACCATTAAATGGATTATTTGTTGAAAGAGCATTCAAAGTAGCCATGAAAATAATTAGAATGATCGCACAAAGTTACACAGAGGTATAAAAGAATGCACCCTTTATTACATTAGAGTAAACCGTGCTATACGGGGATGTTCCCAATTCTCGAACCGTGTTAGAGTGAATCTGTGCTATAGAAGTGCCGTGTTATACGGGAGTTACCTGTACAGATAAAAACTCTCTAACCTTGAAATTCTCCCAGTAGAGTGATGAAAGTCCAGAAAAAAAAAATGCTTACAGTCTATGCCTATGACCTGTTTCAGGTTATAATTTTTGCAGAAATGGAATACCACAGGCTTCAATATTTCAAAATAAAATATGTGAAAGAACTCTCAAGAAATTCATATTTAAAACCAACAACTGATCAATAGGATGTGCCTAAACATAAATGTTATAATGACTTATCAAATAGGACCTGCCATGTTTGTGAGATCTGCTTTTCTTCCTTGAAGTTTATACACTGCATTTTCATGTCTGCTTTAAAACTTTCGAGCACCTTCAATATCTTGAGTTGGTCCGCATTTGCCATTGTTCTAATCAATGTAACTTTTATAATTGTTTGTTTCTTCTGGCCTTTCATTACTCTGCTGGGAGAATTTCAAGGTTAGAGAGTTTCTATCTGCATATAGAAAACTTTTCTGTAAAATTAAACTTCTCATACATACTTAATTTTAATTAGACAAACATATCTACATAAGTAAAAACAGATGAACTAACTAATTTGCCAATTTTATAACACACATTTGGAAAACCTACTTTATTATATAATAGACTTTAATCTTTAATGGACATCCTCTAACTTAAATTAATCTGTTAAATCAAGGTTTTACTGTAATGTAAAAGATCAAATTAGTATAATGCACTCTTAATAATTTGAACCTTTTTTTTTCCTGCTAAATGTTCTAATCAAAATTAAAAATGCTTTGAGTATTAATTTTTAAAACATTTTTAATTTGTTTGCTTTCCATTTTGATTTGCTTTTCTTTATATATAATCTTGCTGATCCAAGTAATCCCACTCAATAATTAATTTGGGGTAGCAAGTTTGCACTGAATTCTGAATTATTAAAAGCAAAATAATCTGCAAATAGCACAAAAAATTAATTCTTAAAATCAAGTTATTAAAGATGCATATTTTTCTTAGATTATAAACAATTATTTTGAGTTTATTAATATTAAAACAATAAGAATAAAGTTTTGTTTTTAATTTTTAAAACAAATAAATATATTTAAATTTAGATAGATAAAAGATTAATTATAACAAGGATCCATTTTTTGTCACATTAAGCAAACAAATTCATTTTCTGCTTCTATTTTTCAAAATTGACTCAGAAAATATTTATTTATTTATTTATTTTAAACGGAATTATTTTTACAAAATTTTCCCTTTAAAATATGCCACCCCAAGTAGATGCTTAGTCTGTTGATGTCTAGAACCATTCCTGATTATAATGCAAATGTGTTTAGATTGTTAAATAAAGTCAAAGAAAATAAAAAAGACTATGAATTTTCAGTTTGTTCACATACCATTATCAATATTAACGTGCTCATTTCAGTAAGTCAACTGTTTAATTTAAAAGGAAAAAATGTTTTCATCCTGTTCTAGGAGAGCTTCAGATTACTAAATTAATGTAATATAAAAAAACCATTGTTCACATACTATTATGGTTCAAATTTAAGATGCACTTTTTCCACATGTTTCTAAACTTAAATTTATTGTATTTCTTTTTAACTCATAAAATGTCTGTAAGCAATGAAAATCTTATATTTCCTGTTTATTCTTTTATTTTCTACTAGTTACACTTTATTTTTAAAATAAAGTGTAACTAGTAGTAGAAAAGTTAGAATTAGTAGAAAAGTTATTGTTAAAATTTTTACTCTTTAATAAATTATTTTAAATGGCATTTACTTCTAATCATCCAGTTTCTTTTGAAAATTTTTTTTTCAAAGTGGGTTGTGCCTTAAATTCAAAGCAATATGGCAACTATTATTAATAATTTTAAATTTGACCATTTTAAATTGTTAATGTACAATGTTAAATATTATGTTAGCTGTCAAGTTTTTCAGATATAATAATGAGTAAACAAATAACCATTTTAAAGATAAAAACAATATAAATAAATTCTGCTATCAGTTCAATATAATTTTAATTAATCAATTACTTAATTATTTTATTTTTAATTTTATAAGATTTAATAGAAAATAATAATTTAATTAACTAATCTTGTTTTAACTGATAATTAAAAATCTAATCAATTTTTGAAGCATTTGAAATAATCTCTATAACTCAAAATGCACTTCTATGTTTTTGTAATAAAAGTTGGTAGTAAATCTATGTATCATCATAAGGGGCATTGGGCTGCAATTCTCAAATTGGAGTCCAACGTCCTTTATGATGGTATCTAGAAATCCTCATTGTCATATGTCTATCCTTCCTTAATCTCGAGAATGGAGTTAGATAGACAAAAGTTAAGACCAGACATGGAAAACTTAAGAGCAGGAGGCCTTGATTAACTACAGTAGAGCATCGATTATCCGACCCCCAATCAACCGTCACATCGATTAACCGACCGCGTTCTAGTCGGCAAATTCAAATGTCCATTAGTGATGTGGCACTACAATATTTGGCTATGTCTTGGTTACTTTGATTTGTTAAATTTTTGCATGTTAAAATTTTGCTGACAACACTGGCTCGACCATGAAAGGGAGGCCAGTATTTAAACGAGGCTTAATTTTCTAGTTATGAGTGGTTGTTTGTTTTGTGAGCAATAAAATAATTTTAAAATAATTTTTAACGATACAATAGCAACGATTATTATTTTAAAAAATTTTTGCTAGACTTAACATCAATGAAAATTCAACACGAAGTAGGTTAATAGTGATATACTAATTGCATGGGATATACTAATCTATCTATATAACCCATTGAACGCGTGTCCGTCCGTCCGCGTAACAGTATGCCAAAAATGGGCACTAGAGGTGCCCTTGCGATGATTTTAAATTAACAATAAATTATTTTTATTTGTAATAGGAATTTATTATTGATATGAATTTATTATTTATACCACGGAATGGTATAAATAATTATTATATGCCTTGCCTTGCCTTGCCTTATTATATGCCTTGATTAACCTTGCACCGCATGTTTACAACATCCCGTGACTCACAAGTCAGTGAACGTCGCGCATTGACTCACGGGAAATTTGTTGAAAAAATGGTGGATACATTTAAAATCGAGGTTTTCAAACGAAGATAAATAAACAAGTTAAAACTATTTTAAAGTTTTATAAAATGTTTAATATATAGAAATATAGTTCCGTATGACGGGATTGGGACTTTAGCAGAGCTGTAGAGTATATTGATAGGAACAAAAAAGTCAAAGGAACCATGTCTCATGGAATTTGTAAAGAACGCCCACTAGGGGGCATCCCAGGCTACTAGTATACTATAGTCTATTAATAATATATTTTTTCATACTTTTCAGTTATCTGACCAACCCCAGTCCCCAATTGAGTTGGATAATCGATGCTCTACTGTATATACAAACTTCTGTTCTTGACTAAAAGTTACAATATTTCAATTCAAAATTTTCTCCTGAAAGGAGCTACATAGATAACTGGCATGACTCTATTGCTAGCAGGAAAAGTATGATATACAGGGGCAAAATTAAAATCCTGAGCATATATTTTAAATTAAATAAATTAAAATATGATTAAAATTGCAGCCCAGCATTGTGACATTGTCACAATAATTTTGTTGATTTTTAAAAATCGGTAAGTTAGCACATGAAATTAATTTTGTAGATGTAGATGTGTAAGAGTCATACACAAATAAAGAATGATTTATTTCTCCTTATTTAACTATTATAAAATCACCTGAATAAATAATCATTAAGTATTTATCACAACTTTATGTAGTTATTACCAAATGATCTGCCAGATTATTTATTGGGCTATATTAAGGCTAATTGATAATCAGATATAAAGCAATTTGTCTAGAATTAGAAGGTTAAGCTGCCATCTCATGATAAATATATTAATTATAAATAAGTTAATTTTAATTCAGAATATTCTGGATGAAAAGAATCAATCTGGAGCAGGACTTGAACCCATAACTCTTGCTTACTATGCATTCACTGCCACAAGTAATTAGTATGGTTATATCTAAATTAAAAATTCAATAGCTCTGAAAATAAAGATCAGATGGGGTAGGCAATGTGTTTGTACTGTAAGCATGAGTTATAGGTTCATGTCCCACTGCAAGCCAATTCTTTTCTTCCAAAATATTCTAAATTAAAATTAAAAATGTATTTATTTATACTTATTACATTTATCATGAGATGGCAGCTACTGCCTGCCTTTTGTTTTATATTTGATTATTTAACTAATCTTAATATAGCCCAATAAATAATCCAGCAGATAATTTGATAAATCTAGTTATATATGTTATTTTATACATTTATCTTAAATTTTTAATTTAAGAGGGGTATATGCATCTCTGCTTTCCTTAACTATTTCTATGATAATGACAACAATCAATAAATAAATGATCTTCCCATAACTCTCTATTTAGTGTGAATGTTCTTAAAATTTAGACACTTGTAATTTAGACCAAAATGTCATAAAGAGTTTAAGCATCAGATTTCTTATTAAAAGAGATTCTGAAAATCACTTAAAATACAAATTCACTCTTATTGTAAAGAAATTCAATTTCTAAATTATAAAATTTACCTGTAAAAACTTTAGTAATAGTTTTATTTCTGAGATATTCTTCAACTTCTGTCCTTTCGAGCATCATTGCAATATCTAGAGCATTTCTATTACATATATCAGTTGCATTAACCTGAGCACCATGTTCAATTAAAATATTTACTATTTGTACATGTCCATTGCAAGCACCCATCATCAAAGGAGTAATTCCTAAAATAAATATTTTGAAAGTTACACACAAATTTTAAGACAACAATTATTATATAGAATTTGGCAACAATTTATACATTATTTAATTTGTTATTTTGCTTATATGTTAAATTTTACAAAATAAATAATTATATAATAAAGCTTATTATTTATTTGCAAAAAGAGCATGCTAAAAGGTTAGAACAATAAAGTAAGTGTAAATTATCCAATGTACTGTACATTATATTATTATTTTATTCATACATATCATAACAACATTTTAATACATCTAAGTTTGTTTTTTAATATATTTTTTAAAAATACATTCAATTTAACAGACTTTCGACAACAGAGGATACCACTTTCCCCTAATTAGTCTGTTAAATCAAAAGTTTACTGTTTTTACATAAACAGTATTCAGTTGAATTAAATGTGAGTTTCAATTCAATTATAAATACTGTCAACTGTTCACTGTATATAACATTTTTCAGCTTGTCTCTGTACTATTTATTGGAGAGCACTTGTATCAGAGGGTAATTATTATTATTTTTTTCTTTAAAAAGAGGGTGGAAGGTAAAAAGGGGGAGGAAACAGCTAAAAATTTTTTACAGTTGTGTTGTATCAAAATATGCCTAAAAGAGAAGATTTTAGATGATTTTAACCTTTTAATTTATAATATATACTAGTTTTACAAAGATTAAAGCAGATTTTACATGTTTTTTAAATTATACAAATTATAACCAAAAGATACGTCTATATATCGTTTATGTACTCATTGTTTTATGTAAATTCTCTACTGTAATAAGTTAAAATATATATATATTGTATTTTAGTTGACTGAAGAGGGGCAAAGCCCGAAACGAGTACAAAACAATGTACCATATCGACTCAACTAATAAAGGAATTTGATGGAAAATTTGCCATGTGTCTTTGGAATAAAACACAATACTAGTGTTTACTACGCCACAAAAGGGTAATTATTATTTCTATTCTTTGAAAAATTTGTGTAGCTATTACTCAAGAGAAATCATTAATGGAATAAATCTGGTGACATTTTTTATTTTATTATTACTCAAGCAACAACACAACTCTCAGTAACACTTGCACTTTATTTCAACCTACAGTAAGAGTAACAATGCTGAATAGACTGTAAAATTTTTCAGTTTAAAAATAAGCCTTACCTTCTCCAAATAGACAGCATGCTAGTTATTAGAGGATGCTGTCTCTTTATCATCTTGCAGTTTCACTGTTTATTAGAAAGCACTTACTACTAGTGGACACTGTTTATTGTAATAAATATACTATTTTATAATACTCATTCAAATAAAATTTCTGAAATATACACTATATTAAGTAACTATCCTTTAAATCATTTGTATTATATAATCAGTTTATTGTTATATTAGATATATTGTAAGTACAGACCAAGTTTAAAAATTTCAGATTTGAATTGTATTCTTTTTAATGTTCAGAGTTTCTGAATGATGAAGCCTAATTAGTTTAGGAAAGTGCTTATTTTAAAAAATTTATCCTACTTAATGCTGCAAGTGGCTTTTTAAAGTCTAAGCAAAATTTTATGATAAGCTTGTATCAAATCACTGATCAGAGTTTGTTGGAAACATTGAGGTTACATAGTATATCATATAAGTTTATAACAGTATTGTTTTATAACAATTTCAAGTTACTGGCACTCTTGAAATTATACATCAAATCAAAAATATTTGTAACTAATTTTTGAATACAAAAGACAAATTGTTTTAAAGAGCAAAATAGAACATATTTATTCTCTACTATTATAATTTTAATAAAAGCTAATGTATTATTAATCTGTTTCTGAAGATGTATATATGCTGATAAGTTTGTTTTAAGCAGGGCTGTGGAGTCGCATAAAAATTTACCGACTCTGACTCCGACTAGGGGCGGACTTGTTACTGAAAGAGACCTGGAAATTCTGATGTCATCACGTGACCTCAGAATAAAAGATTCAATAAATAGAGTTCTAATAAAGATAGAACGTAGAAACCTTTTATTTCAAAGCTAAAAGACTCCTCTAAGTAATGACACAATCAATATATAAATATGTATTCGATAATTTTTACTTTTCCGGCTGTTATATATAACAGAGGGAAAAAGTGTAGAGCTCAGTCGAAAAATGTCCCCTCCCAAATTTTTACATTTTTGGACTCAGGACACCTTGAAATTTCGAGATACGCAAAATATTCGAGGTTTGATTCTATATGTGTGGATGTTGGATTGTGTGGGGGGAATGATTTTGTTCACCCTGTTTGAAGACTAATAATTTCTGTGGTCAGAGTGGTCAGAATTGGAGTCAGACGGTTTAACACAGGAGTTAATTATTAAACGTCAAAGTGGTTGAACTAAATCATGACCTCATACACATTCTAACATCTTAGGTGAGAACATCTTAACGGGTTTTACTGTACTATTATAAAACAACAAAAAAGCTTACTTTGAGGGTAGAGACAAGTTTTATTTATTTATTTATTTTAAATTTTGAATGCTAATAACGTGTAAAATATTCATTAAGATATATGACACATGACTCCTTTTATGTCTTCACCCTGTCGACCTTTAATTAAGAACCAAAATTTAATAGTATTAATGCCCCTTTATATGCAAACTACAGTGCCACATTTCGTTTCTTAAACTTTACCCATTCTGAGATATTGTTTAATATCTCAGAACAGAAAATAAAGAAATTAAACAAATTACACGTCAACACACGTGCGCATGCTAATTTTTCCCCTTTTATTGACTTTTTTGGGGGTTCAGGAGGTTTCCAAACGTGTAGATATGTAAAAAAGACTTAGAGTGTCAAATTTGACACAATTCCAATACTTTTCTGTTTTATATACATATCAAGTTGGTAAGTAAAAAGGAGTCGAAGTTGGCGGATTTTTTGACAACTCTGACTCCGGCTAAAACACCAAAACTCCACGACTCCGACTCCACAGCCTTGGTTTTAAGTATTAAAGCATAGAAAGAACATCATAATATGACAATAGAAGAAAGTTATAAATAAAAAGACACATTATGAATCCAGCAAGTGTTTAATACTTTAAAAAAATGTTTTCCATTTAGAATTAATGAATCTTCCTTCATCACATCACTACATGGAAGTTATAATAGTAGTGAAAGTTCACAGAGAAAAATTGAAAAAATATTATTGTAAAAAACTTTTTTAACATAAATTCAGTTCATCATTACTAATAGCAGCTTATAATGATTACCACAATATTATAATGTACTGCTATTAGAAAAAGACTAAATTTTATAAATTATCCACTTATTAGATTCTCTAATATATAATACTAAAACTGAAGGAAGAATAATTTAACTTCATCAGAAATGTGTAGACATAATACTAATAGTAATAATATAAAACAGTATTCAGGAAACTTATAACAAATACTGATCAGGATTTTTGCTGATTTTTAGATTTTGCAATTACAAATGTGTTAATTTTAACTGTATTTTTAAACCACCTTTCACTATAATAATTAAATTTAAATTGTTAAACTCTCATGATATCCAATATTGTTAATTAATATTAATTCAAAATATTACATGTGAAGAAACAACAAATGAATATAAAACTTATTTCTTATTATTTTATCATAATTTTTATGCAGTTTTATAATAAGCACCCCTTAACAAATTCAGACATAACAAAAATATCACACTAACTTAATTTAGATATGATATATATATTTATTTACTTAAATCCAATTCATTATTATTCTGCTACGTAAATAAATGTTCTTACAGATATTGTCCATTCTAAAAACAATATCTGTATAGTCTATTATGAATCACTCATGTACAATCATAGAAGATATTTCATATATTTTCTTTAGAATAACATAATATTTCACATATCTATAATTAATGTAATTCTATGCTTCATATATCTTCTATGTATTATGAAAATATGCAGATGTGTAACATTATCTCTAAATTAATAAAATTCTTGCCAAAAAATAACCAGAAAAAATTGTGGTTTTCAATTTAAATTGTTTACTTTGATAAAATATTTGTTCTTTATTCTCGTGTGAAACCACCTATTTCTAATATCACTTTGTTTTATTTTCTATTTTATTCACATCTATAAACTATAATAAGGATGATATAACAGAGTTTTTGTACCTTCCAAAAATGACAAAAACTAAATATACTCATTCTATCTGTTTATGAAAAATTCAAAAATATCACATCGTGGGAGTGACTTATATAAGTAAATCAAGCATAATATTATAAAGTAACAAAGTATCACATTAATTAATTTATTTTATAATTTTTCTTTGAACATACAATAAACCAAAGCCAAATTTAACTTTATAGGCAAACAAGTATCTGAAAACCAGAATAGTTTTATGCAGATTTTGGCTTGAAGATAAGAGGTTAAACTATCATCTTAACCTAATATTAATAATTAGAAATTAATTTTGAGTTTAATTAAATCATTTTAGAAAATTCTGGAAAAAGATTGATCCAGAAAGGAACTCAAATCTGCAACTTCTACTTACTGAGATTTTGATGTGAAGTTTTGTAAAAATTAAAAAATATAACATGAATTTGATGTACTGTATTAATGTAAAATTTAATAACAATGTTGAAATGTTTCTATTTATATGCATGTGTGTTTATATATGCATACACAATATGCACACATATGATGAATCATCAACCATTGTCAATCTGTTGCTGGATGAAGGTCTCTTCTAATCTTTTCCATAAAATAAAAGCACCAACTATTAACTACCACAAATAAATTTTAATTATTTGTTAACTTTAACTGGATTACAGATGATAGTTTGTGCTTTTATTGTAATATCATCTAGTTTTTCAGTATCTTTTAATCTTTTCCATTCTTCCCTATCCAATGTTTATTGTTTTTATATATATGTTACTGTGAATGACCGATATCTGGCAAATGTCAACATTCACACAGTCGTTTCATGTATGTACGAAATATTTGCTAAATATCATCATTTCTCACTTACACTGGCAAATGTCGACATTCAGCATGCACTGATGGTGAATGTTGAATAAAAATATTTTTATTACGTTAAGACAAAAATGTAACATTTTAATATGTCAAAATAGGAGAAAGCTTAAGTAACAGCACATGTAAAAAAAACTGTTGAACCTAAAATGAACAGTACATGCTAAATCATTGAAGAAAATAATACAATAATAAACTTACACATAAATTATGTGATTGATGTTGTACAATCATATTTATTGCAATAACTTAAACTGTTATGGCACTTTGAGTCCATTGCTTTTACAACTGCATTTATTCGTGGAACACTTCTTTTTGCAATGACAGCGTGTACTGTATAGCCTTACCCTCCACTTTTCGAATTAGCTGTAACTGCTTCTCTCAGCGATATTTCTTGAGAAGAAATCTCATCTATGAAAAGTAACTTTTCTTTACAAATTACAAACTGATTACGTTATTACGTGATTACGAACTGATCTGTTAATGATGTCTTTTATTCGGATATTGCCGACGCCTTACTGACGACCCCTCTCATCCTCCGTTACTCGACCTGACTAACTGATCCCCACCTCACGAGATCAAAAGAATAAAAACACCATTTAGTGACAAAGTGGGCGATTTCCACCAAACCGTTGCCGGGAAAAAAGGTTACGACCTTGTCTTACCTCTGACTACCCACAAAGGATTTGGCGACAGACTCTCTGTCGCCTCTCTGTCGACATCGGCTTTTCGGGTGTCGTTTCGACCTCCACCAAAGCTTATCTGTACTTGTCGACAATATATAAATCTACTTCCACTGGGTCAAGGGCCACTCAGACACTAACGGAAATGATCGGGCTGATGACCTGGCCAAAAAAGCCGCTAACATTACTTCAAAAATCCACTATCAGGCCCTACCACTCACAGCTGTTCTCAGCTCTCTCCGTTCCATTATAATTAACAAATGGCAAAATGAGTGGGACAACAGCACCACGGGTCGCTACACGTACGCCTTCATCCCCAACATCAACCAAAGGCTGAACAATCACGTCTTCCATACCAACCACGGCCTGACCCAGATGCTCACAGCACATGGAAACTTCAGGGCATACCTCAACAGGTTCCACAACAAGGGTAACGCCAAATGCAACTGCGGGATTCCAGAAGACGAAGACCCATTCCACATCATTTTCACTTGTCCGAACTACAACTCTCAGAGGAGACCACTCCGCAATGAAGCAGACTCTGAAGGACTTCTTTGGCCATGCCAACTGAAAGACCTTGTTAACAACAACAAACTCTTCGAAGCCTTCAAGACCTTCGTTTCTAAAACCAAATTAAGCATCTACTCCAACGTGGCAAGTAACACAAATTAACGGACCTTTTTCGGCCTACCAAGGCCGGTCTTCCTCACTCTACTCTAATTTCCTCCAGGTAACCCCATACTGTACTATATACCCCCACCCGCCAATACAAACGGGTGACTGTTGTACTCTCATATTTTGTCGGACGAAATTGTAAAGCGCGAACCTCCTACTGCATGTAACCTTATATTTTTGTAATTTTGTATTATTGTATTATTGTTCGCTTAAAAAAACAAACCGAAGAAAGCGCTCACGCGACCCTCTCCTCTTTTCCTAACTTTTCCCCATCCTCACCCCTACTTCCTCCTCTCCCTCTCACCTCTACTCTTCACCAAGGCAATACCTTTTGGTACGCTTTACTATTCAATCACTGTATCACTGTACTTGTCGACACCACCAGCGATTGTTCGAATGTATAATAATATAACCAAAATTCGGTCTTTCACCGACGTATTTTGTATGTGTCGACATTCACCGGAGAATATCGACATTCTCTAATTTCGGTCTTTCACAGTAACATATACATATAATTTAGAATGGCATTATAAAAATGAATTAATTACTTAATTTGAGAACATTTGGTTAACAAATTTTTATGTATTATCTAATTACTTAGTCAATAGTATATCATCAGATAGCAATTTATTAATTTATATGCAATCATCAATACTTCCAGATATTTGTAAATATTTATCTTATATTATTAAACTAAGCAACTGAACAAAGTTTATAATTGTTTCACAAAAACTACCTGTTGCTGCAACTGTTTGATTTGTAGATACTCCCCGTTTCAGCAAAATTTGAACAATCATATCATGTCCTTGTAATACAGCTGCCATCAGAGATGTCAATTCACATTCAGAGATATGATCCTCTGAAATCTGTGTATCAACAATAGCTCCCATCTCTAATAGCAGCAGTACAGTTGAAAGATGTCCATTCCATGCTGCAATGACTATAGGTTTCAACCCTAAAAAAATTCATATGATAAATTTTAAAACACTTACAAAATAATAATAAATTATTATTTCATACCAAATCAAAATTTTAGTTAGTTAAATTTATTTGACAAGAAATGAAATAGATATTAAATATAAATATAAACTTTTTAAATACAAATTTTTAAATACTCCATATCTAATTAACAATAAAATAGGTATATTTATAGTTTTAGTTAAAGTTTTACGGATAAATTAATCAATATACACCCAAAGCTGTTTTTACATAGTATATACATTCCTGAAAAATCTGTCCCTATGAGCAAATGGAAGATTAATTACAGACTTTAAGAACCAGTAAGAATAGTATAACAAACTAATTAATGTAATAAGATGTGTTTAAACAAAATATTCCAATTTTAGAAAAATTGCCACTTAAAACTGGTTAAATTAGAATTAAAAACACTAAATCTATATACCAGCAAATTTTTATAATAAGTACAAACGTTTTTGCTCATGATGAACCATTTATTTCAGCATTTGGTGATTAGTTTGCCTGATGATGCCTGTTCAACATGGGTGAAAACGATTGCACTTGTTATAAAAATTTGCTGGTTTATAGGTTTAGTGCTTTTAATTCCAATTTTAGTCAATAAATCAGAATAGGGACAACTATAACTTACTTATTTATAAATAACTAGCTTGTTACTCCTGGCATTGCTTGGGTTTATAAGAGGAAAATACCCAAATTATTAGATAAGGAAATCCTAATACTTATATAGTTTTTACAATATAAGACTTTCAACTTGATGCATGTGAGTGCTACGTACTACTTGTTGCAGTAATGATATAGCACATCTATTTTATACTATATTATTGTCAAAGTAATCAATTGATATATCTGTTTTTTTTTTTAATTATATCTTTTTATGTATGAATTATATTTAGTTTCTTATTTTTAAAAAATTTTTGCAACAGATGGCACTCTCTGTAAAACAGCAAGTGCAATTTAGGCAGAAATTAATTGATATATATAGAAATTAAATCAACATTTTGGAGTGGTATGTATATTATCTAAGTTAGATGTATGTTAACATAACTGTCAAGTTTCAGAGCAATTAGCTGAACAACCTAGGAGTGCATAGCAAATAAACAAACATCCTCATTTATATATACATAGATATATAGCAGGGGTGGCCAAGCTCCTTGATAGTCCGAGCCATTTTTCAAAATTTGAAATTTTTCACGAGCCGCAATTAATGGTATGCAAAAAAGTCCAGATTACAAAATATATCCGTAGCAAGAGTGATACAAATTGTTTCCTCCAGAGCACAATGTCAACTGTCCATTGCAATGACAGTTTACAAATTTAAAATCGGTCTGCAGTCGGTCGATAACAGACAATTACGCCACTGTTTATGTTCGTTCGCGCAGTTTTCGATGAGTCATATCATTCTTAACTTGGACGGAAATGAAATTTGTTACAACGTTGCACTTAGTCTTTCATATTTGTTGTTAGTAATTTAAAAGACATTTTGAAACACATACAGACGATAATAATTTTTAAAAATATAACATCACAAAAATGAAAAGGGAACTCGGGTACAGTACATTTATCGAGAGCCACAAATAATCCTTCGAAGAGCTGCATGTGGCTCGCAAGCCGCAGGTTGGCCACCCCTGATATATAGTAATAAATATTTAATACAGCATAATAATTTAGATATAACCACACTGGTCACTCACAGTGTCAACTGAGAACAACATTAGTATCTATGGCCATCCATGGCTCCCAGTCAGCTATCACTTAACCTCAGCATGACATGTATATATATACATACATAAATATTCAATCCATCAACCCCAATTTTTTAATTAAAACCAAATAATCAGCTAGATTATTGGACTATATTAAAGCTAATTTTAATAATTAAATATAAAGTAATTTTACTAGAAGTAGACAGTTAATATACAGGTATACCTTGAGTTACGTCTAGGGATTGCAGTTGCTGGATTCCTCATCCAGCAATCCAGCTGGATCCAGCGCATTCTTCGACCTGCTGGATCCAGCATCAGGTGCTGGATCCAGCGCTGCAAATCCGCAAATACAGTACTCAATTAATTTTCTAAATAATGGCGCAAAAGTCTACGTTATCGGTGTTGCCGCGTTTCTACATGTGCTATCGCTCGGCGGCGAGGGCGACGTTGCCATTCAGTGTGTCACATGCTACACCCCCTCTCTACACTGCACTGCCTGCCTTTTCACCTCTGCTGATCTAATTGCCAGTTGACTTTCCACTCTCGCTAAAGTGTCTTCGCGCTAAATAAAATAAGTAACTCCTCTCCTAGTCCTGGTGCATAATTCTAATTTACGGTCGGTTGTGACGTCAATGAATCACGTGACAGAACGATCTCAGTTTATTAATTAAGCCTATGGAGAGCTGCAGCCTCGCGCCTTGTCCACGAAACCTAACCTATAAACTGGCCGTAAAAGCTCTCTGTAGAAGAGAGTCGAGTTTGATACCTGCTGACATGACCTTGAAATTTATCTTACACAAACTAAAAATCCAGGATACAATCTTGAGTGCTGACCTTTCCGAGGCACCCCGCAAAAGAATCAGAGAACGGCGTCTTATCGAGGTCACAGGGATGCTGATTTACATACAGAACCCCAAGAAGTATAACCAAAAAGTTAGAAAGCCCGATTATTCTTTCACAATACCGAAAAAAATGTAATGCGCCAGGAGATGAAAAATATGCTGAATCGAGTAAATACATATGTAGTGGAATCAGCAGAAATGGCTGAGGATACTACGGAAACAGAAAACGATGATCCAGATAACCCGCATTCATTTGCTGAATTTCACATTGGAACAAGAATCGGAGATCCAACTAAAGCGTGAGAAAGAAAACTTCATGAAACGAAAAGAAACTAGTACTGAGAAGGATTATGATAAGTTATTATAAAAGGAAATGGCTGTTTATGAACGTGAGGGGGTCAAAGGTAAAAACTTATCTTTGATTTATGATTATTTGATGACCCTGAAACCAACTAGCATAGAGGCAGAAAGAGCCTTCTCCGCAGCGGGATATATATGCAGTTCATTAAGAAGTAGGTTGGGAGACAACACCATCAATACCATTTGTTTCTTGAGATCCTACTTTTAGAAAAGTCAAAAAAATAACAGAAGTGATTGATTTAATTTTATTTAATCCTTTAAAATACTTTATTCAAGACAAGACTAATATTTTATAACTTCTACTCTAATTCTATTAAGTAAGAGTTTTTAACTTTTATTCTATAAGTGGTTAGTGGGCTAGGCTAGGCAATTTTATTGTTAAAATTAGTGAGAAACTGAGACTACCTAGTTAGTTAAATAGTTAATTAAATTAATGAGTATCAGTATCTTAGATATATGATGATATGAATGTATATGATTCATGATTGTGATAATAATAACTAACTACTAGACTACTACTAATTACTTACTCACTACTTTACTAACACTAATAATTAAATTACTTATAAATAACTACAGACTGATATGTAGAGCCTATATAAGAAAACTGGTAAGACTGATAGCCACTTAGCCACTGATTATTCGTCCTTACATTATTATAATATAATATATTAATACAAATTAATTGGTAGAATTACCTCTGCTATTATTTAACTTAAAGATTACATTATAATTATAATCTAACCAAACATTTAAAGTTAATTATCTCTATCTCAAGTGTTAAACCGAACCAAAGTTAAGTTTACTACCTAAATGTGTAAGAAGCTTTACTGATTTACTGTATAGTGACCAGTCTAAATAATAAAAGTTTCTTAAGTATTTAAAAAAATGTTTTATTTCTTTAAAAAACCCATAAATTACTGGATAGATAGATAGATAACACTTTATTGCACCAAAAATACATCTGCGCTAGATCCGTGCTGGATCCAGCTGGAATGATGTTGATCCAGCAAAAATCCAGCTGGATTGAAAACACTGCTGGATTGCAATCCCTAGTTATGTCATTCTCGGTTATACGTCGTTTGTCAAAAAAATATATGGAAAAATAAAAATCAAGTTTAAGTCATTTTATTCGACTTTATGTCTGTCTGCCACAAATATTGAAATTGTAATATCACTAGAAAAGTGTTAAAAGAACATAAAATCATATTAAAATACATACATTTATGGTAAATATTAATATAATCATCATAAATCGTAGAGAATGAAATATGAAAACATCTGTAACTCTGTGTTGTCATCTTATTTAGTGATTTTTAAGAGCTCAATATTGGCATTTTCCATGATAGTTCCAATATCTACTGTTTGGTGTCATTGTCAGCGAAACTCAATATTAATAAATTTAACATAAATTAGTTTATTTTTTACTATCGCAAAATAATTTTAATAACTGTATTTGTTATTTAACCTTACAAAATCATCTTATTTTATAATGTCTCATAGCAAACCATATTCACAAATAAAGAGTCCGTGATTGCCAAATTGTAAACATGTATACAGTAGAGCATCGATTATCCGACTCAATTGGGGACTCAGGTTGGTCGGATAACCAAAAAGAAGGGAAAAGATACATTATTAGTAGAGTATATTAGGATATTAGTATATCCCATGTAATTAGTTTATTAGTATATCGTTATTAAACAACTTCACATTGAATTTTCATTGATGTTTAGCCTAACAAATTTTTTTTTAAAATAATAATCGCCGCTATTGTATCGTTAAAAATTATTTTTAAATTGTTTTATTGCTCACGAACCAAACAACCACTCATAATTAGAAAATTAAGTCTCGTTTAAATACTGCCCTCCCTTCAATGGTCGAACCATTGATGCCAGCTAAAACACGCAAAAATTTAACAAAAATAATATTAAAATAGCCAAGACATAGCCAAATATTGTAATGCCACATCACTAGCGGACATTTGAAATTTGCCGACTAGAACGGTCGGTTAACCGATGTGACGGTTAATCGGGGATCAGATAATCGATGCTCTACTGTATTTACAAGTACGT